AGCACGATCTTTTGCGCGTGTTCTGGAGGGCCAATAAAAGCCACAGCCAGTGTTTCGGATTAAAATCACGCGTCGTGTTCTCTCTGGTATGCACAGCGCTGAAATTAACAAGCATACATGCGTGGGAAGTTGCGTGTCTCAAAGAAAAGTGTTGTGTATACTCCGCTATAGACGCACCCCTTTACGTTTTCGTTCCTGGTTTGTCGTTTGAAAAACGGACGACGCAGCCTGCTGGTGGAGACGGCGCATGGGCTTATAGGAAGAAGGAAGCAGAGATACCCAGCGATCATCCCAAACGCCACGGGCCGAGGAATGCGAAATACCCGTGGGAGCGAGCTGGCACAGGTGATTGTCTTGCACGGGATATACGATGAAGAGAGTTACGTTCCTGAGACTACACGCGTTTGAGACGCAGTTCCGGGCCATGTATTTGCGCTGGCTTTCTCTGGGCTTCCGAAAACAACAGCCAAGAGGGAACTTCGTGAAGAAACTCGTGTAACGCCTATCTAATATCTATAATTAAACGTAAGCAGGAACTGCGCCCTTTTTGCATCATCAGCATAAGCAGCAAACCGTGCACCTTCTTTGGCTCTTCTTCTGAACAATGGCATTTTCCCGCTGCGCAAGATAGACAGGTCAACAAGTTTCAGGAAGATGAAAACAGAATCAGCTGTATTCATACACGTAGACTCAGAAACAGAAACTGGTAATGGTGAAACGAAAGCGTGTGCTGTTTAGCTTTCGGTGCCGATAAGGAAAGTTTCCAGCATGGGAAATAGAAAATAGTTTGCAAGTCGTTCAAAACAAAAAGACGAATTGTTTTCTAAGATTTGAAGAGAGATTAGCCGACATAATGTTACTCTGCCTGTAAATCTGCATCCCCCCGGAAATAAAGGCAACACACACGCGCATGTGCAGCTATACTGTGCAAATTATACTCGACAACCATTGTCATGGCCAAGCGTCGCTGGTGGTCCACCGTGCGAGATGGATGGGAGAACATCGGAAATGGCGCTGATCAAGCCCCGTTAGCGTGACCCACATACACTATATATGATTAAAGAGAACTGATGCATTGATATGAGCCAAGATATCGTCGAGTTCATCGCGAATGTACACACTCGCGTACTCTATGCACTCCACAGGGGATAAGTAGAGACAGTTTATTTCCTTTCTCAGCGTCTCGACCGAAGTTTCCCAACAGAATTTTCTTCCCAGTGGAACCAGCTTGTTTTTTTAAACAGCGAGGTATTCGAAATATCTTTCATGTTAAGGTGAAGATAGAATCTTGAAGCGGTGAGAAATAGTTGGAGCGCGGGGTGCCACAGTAGTCATTGACACCCCGTGTTCCAAGGGCTTTTTCTAGATTTATATACAAGGGTGCCCTTAATCTGCAGGATGCTTTGAGCTGGAATGGGAAGTCACATATGCTTATCGACTTGATTTAAGACTGAAGAAGGACAACAGAGGAGTAAAAAAAAAAAAATTGGCGAAGCCTTCACTAAGCCACACAAGCCTTGAAACAACGAAGTTGCATGATTCGAAAGACGAACCTGGTTTACTTCTGTTGATTAATTGTTTCTATAGACCTTGTATGTGATGCGGGTTATTTCTAGATTGCTTCTCGTCTGTTGCTAGGTTATAGCTAACTGATATTAGGTTTTCCAGCGTTATTTTTAGTGCTGAAGTATTCCAGTCACACCACAGACAGTCACAGACACCAGATGGTTGTCCGAACTACAGAGACAGCAACTTGCGCTGAAAGCAAACGTTCGCACCTCTCATATCCAGACCTATGGACAAGTCGTCTTCGGCCTTCCATCGCTTCGGGGCCTCTTTTCTTACGTGGTTCTTAAAAAAAAAGAAAAGAAAAGCAAGCCCGTAACTGTCTGCATCAGGTTCGACACCTCAACGGTAGCTCACAAGGAATGGGGCTAAGGTGGGATTAAAAGGATAGGATTAAAATGTATATATAGAGAGAGGAAGGAGAGAGCGAGGCACAGGGACAGCGAGTGACGGAAGTAAAGAGAAGATAGGAAAGATGGACACGGTCGCAGGAGTCCTAGGACGGGGCACCACTCGACGAGAGCTCTTGTCGGCGTCAGGAGATGGCGTAGGGTGAGTCCAGTCAGCCAGAGCTGCACTGTCGTCGGAGATTGGCGTCAGGAGATGGCGTAGGGCAAGCCCAGTCGGCCAGAGCTGCGCTGTCGTCGGAGATTGCGATGGCACGACCGGTCGGCACGAAATCCAGCGAGCGAGTCCTAGGTTATAACCAACTGATATTAGGTTTTCCAGCGTTATTTTTCAGTGCAGAGATATTCCAGTCACACCACAGACAGTCGCATACACCACATGGTTGTCCAAGCTACCAAGACAGAAACTTGCTCTGAAGGCAAACGTTCGCACCTCTCATATCCACACTTATGGACAAGTCGACTTCGGCCTTCCATCGCTTCGGGGCCTTCTCGCACCCGTCGTTGCCTTTCCTGTTCCCCAGTATTGTGTCGTTCTACGTACCATCGGTGCCTCGGGCTCGCCACCGTCGCTGTGCAGCCTATAGTTGGACAAACTGTTGCCTCCTTCATTTTCAGTGCACAACCAGCGGTTGGCCTGTAGCGAGATTTACCCAATTTCTGTGGCACGTATATCCGTTTGTGATGATTACAGCTTTTCTGTTTGGCCACATGGTGGCTCTTACCCGTTAATATTACTATGGTTTTCTGTGATCGACTCACTAAGAAAAATTCGCTTAACAGCTTCACTGTTTAAAACTTTGCCGCCCAAGTACTCCATGCGGATGGTTGGCCAGAGCGGCTAAAACGCGCGGCCATGGTGTTTTATTACTAGGTGAATCCCAACAGTTAATTATTAAGTTTCTCAATTATTCACTACGTCTATTCAGTAATTTTAATTGGTGCTTGCTCTCCGTTTGTCCTCTTCCTTATAGTAAAAGCGGACCAGCGGTGACTATAATGGGATTTGCCCAATTTCTGCGGCCCATGCGCGATGGTGGTTTCCGTGCACACAGGGCGGCTAAATTACGATTTCGCCGAGCAGTATAGACTATTTTACGTAAGGCACCTGGGTGCCGCCATCTTGGGCTGACGAATTTTTTTTGGTTTTGCGTATCGCGGCGTGAATTAATAAGGGTATGAAACATCGCATGCAGCCACCCAACCGCATTCGCTCGTCTACCGCAACACTGTCCGTTTGGTTGTGAAATATACAAAACGTGAAGGTCATAACAGTCCAACATGGCGACACCGAAAACCATCCGTATCATAGTCTATACAGCATCACTGCAAAAATAATAGCGTGACCACCGTGCACGCGCAAATCACCTGCTGTGCACATACCGCGGAAACGTGTTCAAGTGCACCAACAAGAATGAAGCGCCGGACTTCGTGAATGATCCCGATTGCTATGCTGTGAGCAACCATGAACTTGTCCTGGGCACTCTCCTCTACAGCATGGACACCGAACAAACAAATTTTGTGGCCTCACCACTGGTGCATATTCCGGAAGAGGAGGAGTGGCAACCAAACAAAAAATTGCAAACACAATTGCTATCGTAAACAACATTGTGAACAGCTACAGACTCAGTACAAGAAAGAAAATGATCACGCCAGCTAGTTTTATTTTCAGTATTCATGACCTTTTAATAAAGCCCGGGAGAAAAATAAACGTAAAAACGATTGCGTTTTTTTGTAATTTCTAAGCCAATTTTATGGAAAGTAATTGGTCATTGAGAGCGAGGAAGTGATTCAAAGAATCGTAATTGGTTGCTGATATTTTTTTATGTGTGGAAGTAGAAAAACCAACAACAATGGTGACAGCCAGAAAAGCCAGGGGGAAATGTTGTACAATATAGGCTCTCCAGTCTCTGCAGTAATTGTAATAGACCATTGAGTTACCTTCTACACTTTTGATGGGTAAAGCAATGGATCCATCATTCATCCACTGTAAGAGATGGCTACGTTCAATAATTTTACGGGGCCCAGAAACGAGGGATAGCAGGATGCACATAGAGGACGCAATTAATCATTTGTGCACATGTACATTCGTCACAGGTATTTCTGATTGGTGAGAAGCTGTAGGGTTATTTATATGGGATATAAAATGAAACAGAAACTTAAGACATAAAAAATTCAAAAAGCTGCCACAAATGACAAGCTAAGAACGAACAGTTGACAAAATCATCTTATTTTTGCAGCTGATAAAAGTATTTCATAATTTAAAATATTTCAATGTCACGCACCTGGGTGGGGTGCAAAAGTCTTGTGTTATTTATCAAAGAAATTTTTTTTACTCGTGTGCATGAGAGGGACGTGGACATGCAATTACAAATCTTGATAGGGTGCTGGTGAAAAAGAAGCCATCGTTGTCCCACAATTGACAAGAAAACAAATCTACATTACATAACGAGGATTTCAGCGGTTTATGTAGTTTTCTCAGGTGTAGGAGCTTCCATGCATGAGCGTTAGCGCTTAAATTGCTGCACTATGAAATAGGGGCGCAATAAAGAAGAAGGGGAGACGAGCATCGCGCACGAAAGACCGGAACAATGCTTTCACTGCTCATCCTCCTCCTCGCGCGAGGAAGAAAACAAGAGGAGGCGTCCACTTCCGGAGCCCCTTCCGGTCCGCTAGTGGGCCGTGGGGGCGGGCCTCGCCGCTGGCCTTGAACCGCAATCTGGGAAGGCGGTGCCCCCCTCTCCCCAGAGGCGAGGGCTGCCACTCCATTTCACCAACACCTGCGGCTGTGGGACACGAGGAGCACCTTTAAATATAGCACGGGGGAATAGCCGCGCACGCGAAAACGATTGTCATGAAGACTACAAGGGCGCAAAGAGGAAAAAAGCGCGAAGCCGCCGCCGCCCTGGCTGGCTGGCTACTTGTGAAGAGCATGCCCCAATTCTCGTACGCCGCTCGATTGCCGCCCGTCTTGATACAAATTTAGCCACGCGTTGCGCGTATAAAGGAGAACCGGTCACCGGAGCCCGCTCAGTCGCTCGCGTTATCGTTGGGGGAGTCCACCTGAGGAGTGTCGGCCGCCATGGTGTCCGCGGTGAGTGCCAGCCACGTGCTCGGATGTGTGCGCGGGGGCCCACAGGGAAAGCAGGGCTCCGCGGCGCTGGGACCCAGCGGCGCTCTGCTTTTCGCGTGGGCTTGGGACACCCACGAGTCCGCTGACTTTGCGGTGGCCGCCGCCGCTTGTGCTCTCGACAGCTGCCGTGACCTCGTCGGGTCGCTTTCGATGCGCCGGTCAACTTGTCGCGTCACTCGAAGCGTTGACCTCGGCTGCCCGTCGCTCGGTGCGCTTTCCTGACGCCGCTCCTGAGCGCTCGGCTCCCGGTGGTCGAAAAATAGACGCGGCCAAGCGCAAGTAATGTCTCCTATGCATAGCGGCCGCTGTTCGTCAGCAGCCTGCGAGCGCTTTCCTGGGTGCCCGTGCACACCGTGCGTGTATTAACATATCCGCGTCTGGATATAGCGCACCACTGTGCTTGACAGCGACAGGTGTTTAAAAGACAAGCATAACAGGAGTAGCGTCGATTGTAACATGAACAACACTTGGGCAAGCTGAATGGCATATTAGGTATCTTGCGAATTCCCCAAGAACAGTATTCTCTTATCGGCGGGGCGTCATTGAGTCGTATTTTCTCAAATGTCGCTGAGCTGAACTTTGCCCCATCATAACATATCACTTAACTCTTACTCATCATAGACGCCATGTTCAAAGGCTTTATATCATATTAACCAATTTCACATAAATAATCAATGTTTAAATCCGTTCGTAAGAAGAAAACTATTGTTTGCTCATATTCGGTATGCCTGTTTCGTTTGATGCTCCGCCATCACGCAGCATTGGCGCACTGGGCATCATCTGTAATTTTGATGAGTGTGTGCTGACAGTGTGTGATAAAGCTCACGGCAATCACAACGTCATCAGACCCCCCTCCCACCGGAGTAGCTCAGAAGAAAATTCTCATTTAGGATATTTAACCGCCCATGAAGAACCCCAAAGTGTAACTCAATTGAGCCATAGCGGTAGACAATTGAAAACCTCGCTAACGGCAGAAGGTATTGTTAGACCCAGTTTCCTTGCTAAATGCGAATTAAATCGTGTTAACCAGCCTTGTCAAGTAGCACGCCTGACAGGACTGGCGCACACGAAACGGGTGATGCACGTAATCAGCTTCATGTTTGATTTGCTGTGATGAGCGACCAACAAGTGTATGCCTTGTCCTATGCAGCTAAGCTTTGCTACCGCTGCTGTGTGCATCTGCTTCGTTTTGTGCGATGATGGCCATGGCATCTACAAGAAGTTCCCGCCGGCTGCTTTTACCATTGGCTTCGGCCATGACCACGGTTTAAAGATTGCACACGGCGGCCTCAAGGTCGGCGTGGGCTTCGGCAGCGGTGGTGGTGGCATCGGCCTGGGTCTCCTGCATCGCGTAGGCGGTGGCGGCGGCGGCGGGTACGGTCATGGTGGATACGGTGGCGGACATGGTCATGGCGGTGGTCACGGTATAACTATCGGCCTCCTCGGTCACGGCATTCACCTCGGCCACGGAGGAGGCTATGGTGGCGGCTATGGCGGTTACGGCGGAGGATACGGACACGGCTGGTGGTAGACGCACAAACCACATTCATCAATTCACCTGCGTTCCCGGTAAGCTATTAACTGCGTTCGGATACGCTGGGACTCGCGCATAACTGGCCCATGGGTCAGTTCCGATTGGATTATAGCGCTATCCCGAAACTATCTAATCATGGATTGAAACGGAAACTATAGTGGACGGTAATAAAAGAGATCGACTCTGTAGTGTGAGCCCACCATGGTGAAGTGGTTGCGGCGCTCGGCAGCTGACCCGAAGGTCACCGGTTTGATTCCGATGGAGGCAGAACGCCAGAGGCCACCGTGGTTTATGTACCCTATGCAGATTTGTGTTCCCCACGTGCGTGCCTCATACATAGGGTGGTTTTAGCACGTAAAAAAAAACCCTACACCTCTTACTGCTTGGCGCAGGAGGGCTTTAGATGCACTCCACATATCTCTCGTTTCTTGTGTTTGTTTTTGTTTTCTGTTTGCAAAGTGAATCTGTGCAATGACGCTGTGATGTGATTTCGAGAGAGAAAGCAACTCGGAATGATGGCGCAGAGCGATTGCAGAAGCAATGCATATTTGCTTGGCTAAGAAGAGTGTCTGAGAGCTGAGCAAACGCCCATGACGACAATCTATACAAAAATGAATTCTGAATTCAAAAGGCACTGAGGGCGGTAAGCAAAAAAAAGTAAGAGGCACTGATTTACAGTGATTATAAAAATAAGACTCGCTAATATTGCATGATAATAATATACACTTATAAAACAAACACAAAGGATCGTGAATCCAGTTAGTGAAACGTGCTACACGTTTAATAATTTTTCTACTTGCTGTTCCTGATGTCGGTCGTTGATTAAACGCAAGGCGGTAACTATATATATGCAAAAACATTCATAACCAGACTGTCGAATACGTTATTTCTTATGCACCCCAGAGAACTACAGATAAGGCTTATCGTAACATCTAACATGCACATTAGCGGCACACAGCATTGCTTGCGTAATTAGACAAAAGCAAATATACATAAGTCTACCAGCACGCGCTTGCGTGAGTCTTCATAGTATCGCACATGGTGAATCGTTTTGCACGTCTCAGTCACTTTATTTGCTCTTACACAGCAAATAGCTTTCCGCGTTCTTCATTAATCTCTGGTTCTGCAAGCTTGTACGGTGTATCGCCGCTACACGCATGTAGACCAGTATTGTGTTTTCAGTTACGCAATACGCCACCATGGCGAACGTTCTTCAACTCCGAAACTGTTTGTTACGGTGAAAGCATGGCTAGGAAACTTCTGCAACATTCGCATGAACACCTGCCGTTATTATCTAATGGTGAATAACGCATTAAATGCACAACAGCACGAGGTCTATGCTTAAAAACACATATTTTTCATAAACACTGTGCTCAAAAATAAAGAGGCACCTCTTTTCAGTGCTACTGCTGAAGTCTTTGAGATGCGCGAATTTCCCCAAATTAACACTGCTGTTAAATGCAGACTCAAAGAATAATAAGAAAATCTTGACTGGTTTATCAAGCATTGGCAATGAAATGGAATCACAGGCTATGAACCTGGAAAAGTGAAAAGTTAAGGATGTGGTACTACGGCTTTCACAGCTTAGCATTTCACAACGGTACCAGAACTCAAGGTAGAGCTATAGGAGTACTCAAAATCTGTTCTCATCTTTAGTAGCAGCAAAAAAAAAAAAAGTGGTAGATGAGACGAAGCACTAGAAGTATACTTAAACTGTATTGCTAATGTATCAGAATCTTTCTTGAATATGACTGTGTCGTGACAGTAAATTGAGTTAAATAAAATATAGTGCACAGTGGCCCTACATTGCAAAGGTGTGGCGCAATATTTTTCTCAATCTTGTATGCGCACTTAACTCTAAACTGGGAGAACAAAGCTCAATTTCAAATACATAGTTGTTTTTAGTCATATATATATAATGAAACAGATGAGCACCCATCGGATAAGTCTGGGGAATTTTCAAATCCTTCTCCATCTCTGCATCTTCTCTAGGGAAAATGAATTATTGTATCTCTCCTCCACCTCTTTATTTTACTTTCGATAATGAGCTCAACCTTCTCGCTTCACGATTTGGTGCCCACCGACTTGTTTACACAGCGTTCCTCTGATATAATCGAAGCACTCGTTGGAAGCATAGCGCTTCCCCAGTCTTCGCCCATATGTGATGCCCACTACTGACGTGCGCGCCTATAGTCTCTAAGTGTTATTTTATTTTCGTTCTATTCGCAGCTTCTGGAAGCTGGGGAGGCGACCATCATCTGTACATTACTGCCATCATCACACATCTGACGTGGCGCCCGTCCAACGCCACCTCTCTGCCCGGGTCCAACGGAGGCCCAGAAGCGCTGCCCAGGCGGCGAATCGCGCGGCCCACGTCCAGCGCGTCGACGGTCTCGCCTGTCAGTAGCTGAGCTCTGTTCGGGACGAGCCGAAACGAGACGCCACCGTGCATCAGCCTTACGCGCCCCACGGCACAATGCATTGCTCAAACGCGGGGGTACATTTCACCGCCCTTGTGTGTTTTTAGAAAAAAAAAAAAAAACTTTGGGCATGTATTTCTCGTCACACGCAAGCAGCTCGCATCGCACAGCGTCAATCAAAGATAATTCAGAGGCTGTATATAAATGCCGGTTGTGTTGTTTGCCATGCGAAAGAAGCGGATTGACGTGTTCAACAAGACAGACATGAAAGTGACCTGGGCCATCGATCTGGCCGGTGTCGTTCCGACGCGCAGGTGCAGAGCTCAGGCTGGAGGCAAGTTTTGTGAGTCAGGGTTCCTTCGACCTGCGATCTGCAGACAGTTCGTTCGATCACACACTAGACGAGTTTATCAAATTTAGCCCCCCCCCCCCCTTCTTTGCTATCACGTTGCACCGCTTCTTTCGCAAAATCAACTGACTTAGCGTCAAATCACACTTGCTCAGCTCGACATGGAACGAGTCATGCGGCTCTGCGTGTACAGGGGTGGTCAAAAGTTTCAAGGCCATCATACTGTGTAATCTTACGGCAGCACGGTCAGATAACTTTTGACCCCCCCCCCCCCCCTGTACATTTCAAGTGGCTCACCTGAGCTTCTTTGAATGCCAACGATTGAGTGATAAATGGATGCGGCCTTTTTGATCGAGAAAGAAATTTATGCCGAATGAAACTATTATGAGAACATTCAAACTAGCGCATCATGTATTCAAAACAGACAAATGACTACTCACCACGGTAACAGCGGTAAAGAACTAATTTCACTTCATATCTTCTCTCGTATCATTATGTTGGGTAAGGCAAAGTCAGATGTGGGCTAAACTTTACATAGTTTTTTAGTCGTATTCCGGCGTAAGGGTGTTAACTTATTGAGCTGGGCTTCCATTAAACTCCACTGACTGGTGTACATTTCTTAAAGGTGCGCATAGACATGCATGGGTAACGGTTGTTTAGTGTATGTAAGTCGGAAAAAATGGAACGGAGTAAAGTTCATTCCAAGAAACATCGCTAATCTCACGTGCGGTTTATAACGTAACCTCTCACCATCTGTACTACTTTGTTGTTATTTTTCACTGCCATTTTTTCTACTACATCCATAACGAAGGTGACATGGAGTAGAAACATGACTTTGACAGTCCTCCTTTTATAATTTTTATTTGTTTCGTGTAATTAAACGTGCACGACCATGTATTGTGGTTTGAGTCACTTTTTTCGCTTTCGCCAAGTGCCTTGCTCTTGCTTGGACCCAGTCCTCGCGACCAGTTCTGAGCAGCAAAAGGGATACGTATGCCTGGCGCTCGAGAAACCTCAGCTTCCTCGTGTCGGCTACGTGCATGCACTGATCATACACGAAACGCTAATACTCCTGTTCTGAGCGGTAGAAATCATGCAAGCAGGCCAAAGTTCAAAGGCGGGTAAGACTACACGTTTTCCCAAGGCGGAAGAGTGTGAACGCGCGACTAATCTATTCAGAGAGCGAGTTCGCTATTTGTACAAGGTCATGATTTAAGCACGCCGAACCCCCTGACGACAAAGTATGCCAAACGAGCTATTGCTGAATCACTTGACCAGGCATCTGTCGCAAGGGCGTTCAGTTTGAACCTAAGTAACACGGAAACAAGACGAACAGGCGAGTGTTCTCAGAAGTGAAGCGACATCCTCTAAGCATTAACGAATTGGGACTAAGTGTGTAAAAAAAAACAAAATACTATAAAATAACATAATGGCATCACCTCAGCCATGAGTCTACCCACGGTGTTGCACTACATCTGGGATGGGCGCACGTATTTCAATTAGTAGGACACCACCACGAAAAATTCCGACCAATTAAAAGCTGACAGCTTCGCCGAAAAATTATTGAAGGGAACGTCACGTGACAGTCAATATAGTATACAGCGCATAAAATAGTCACTATTGATTATTCGGTTGATACTGATATCAAGCCAACAAAACCACTATCAAACGTGTAAACTACAATTTTGAACAGCGTTACCTGATGTTTCGCCTCGTTAGATTACACACCTTCTTCTTCCCGCGGCCTATTGCTCAAAAACAAACAAACGAACAAACAAACAAACAAAAAACTTGATCGCCAGCGTATGCGGCCGTTTTACCACAGTGGCCTTCTCCAGGTTCGCATAGTGGAAGACAGCTTCCGTGACTGTTTTAGCACCAGACATTTACAGATGTGGCAGGGCCATTTGAGCTCAAATGTGGTGGTTTCCTGGCAGCGCGAAGTTTATTGCTCCTGTCGGCACAGAGGAGCACAGCGCGTGGCGGCGAAACTGCTTCGATCGTCAAGCCTATAAACGGAATGGCCATCAAAAAGGACACGTTTTACTGCCCGGGTTAGTTATTTAGACATTGTTTCAATGGCTTTATCGTCGAACGTACTTCCCTCTCTCACGTTCATAGCGTGACCTCAAATAGTATACAGCCTTTCCTGGTGTGTACATACGATTAACTGTGGCATAAACGTAACCACATAGAATGATCCCATACCAGTCTAAGTTATCATTGTATAGCTAACTAATGAAATGGAGATTAGGGCCTTGTGCTTAAAGTTGTTCTATAGCTATTCAATTATGATTTTGATCCATTCTATGTCCATGGAGATAATCAACTTATAGTCGTTTGTGCTGCGCAGTCACCTGCAGCTGCACAACAAACATGAGCCTCGGTATAAGAATACACCGTGAGCCGCCTGCAGGTTACTTATCTACTGCTGTACTATTTAAGGCAAGATCGTTAAAAAGCCCCTGTCGGAGAAATTCCGGTGTTGGTGTAGGCGGCGATGGGGTTACCATGGCCACCCTTTGTGTCGACACGGTAAAGTGAGCTCACTTACCGTAAACGACGCTTTGTTTTAGTACATTGAACAAGGTATAGCAAGAAATAAAAAGGGGGGGGGGCATTCACCGACCCCCCGTTTCGCTACGGGTGGCTGCACATGTAAGCGAATGTTGAAATGTCTTAACAGCATTCCATATTTTTCTGCTTTTGTTTAGCTGTCATATTGTGTCGTTTATCATTGGTGACACCATGACGCTAAGGGTTCTTCAAGCCAAGAAATAGAAAGGCCATGAACTGTTATCTGTGTTTGACCACAGCTATGTCGTCGGAGTGCCACGAATGCCCCCCCCCCCCCTCAAACTTTAGTTTCTTGTCTCAACAATGTTCACTTCACAATTCCACCAACGGCATTGCTTACTTCTGTATAGCTGGGTAATCACATAGCAGATTTGCGCCACGATTACGTATAAGGGACCTCAGCCCCAATTGGTTGACAGTAAAACTAACAACAGAAGAAGGCGCTATCTCCAAAGTCCGTATGTTTTTCGTTTGAAGCAAGATTTATTTGGATGCTGGTCATTCTATTTTTCCTTAATGCCACACTTTCTTTCTTTCACAAAAAGAGGTTTTTTTTGTAACGTTCAGATTTCATCTACAATTCAGTGACGAGCTAACTATATACGCAAAGGCCTACCTCACTCTAAGGCGTTCTCTTTTCTGGAAGCACGCTGGCCGTCAGAGGCACAACTTCAATGAGTGGTTGCTTTGAGCGAGCGATATGGCATGCTTAACATGATATTATATATGGGCTCGTTCAAATACGCAGCAAGCCATCGCCCATCTCTTCACAGCCTGTTTGGATTCAGCGTACACTTATCTGACCGTCGAACGCACTTGAAGCCTCTCGCACGCCAACTCATTCGAGTGGGCAGCTCCATCGTCTCGGCAAGAACTGCGTAGGCTGATGAAAGCTCAGGCTTCGCGAGGCTGCACGGCGAATGTTTAAACTTAGTTTGATTCACTATGTAGTGTCAAGGCAAAAGAATTGAAGTGGCATCGCGTGAAGTGGCGTCACGAGCCGGGACGAAGACGTAAGGGTGCGAGGATGAAGTTGATGTCGGATGAGCGAGGCCAAGGCGTTGCCTTACAGCTCCCGTTTCGTTATTCTGTGCGGGGGGGGGGGGGGGGGGGGGTGCTTGCGTGCGAAGTGAATGGTCGCTCTCATTGGTTCAAGCTGTATCTTGTCAGCAGTTGGATTTTTCCAACACAGCTATATATGGATGATTTCCGCAGTCGTGCTCAGTTTATTTTAGTAAACCAGAGAGCGCTGGACCACCTAGGTCTGCACGTGTCCATCTAATTGGTCAAGTATCAGTCCTACGGGCCGCAAGAGAGCCATAATGGAAGGTGCATTGCAGGGCCACCAGTTTCGGCGCCCACGATGAGAACGTCTTTTATCCCCTAGACCACGTACTCTCTCTCACGCGCACGTACCGCGGCGCTCTGGCTTTGAAAACCCGTATCTGCGTACGGGTCGAATATAACTGGATCGCTTCCTTCCTGGTGGCGTCCAGATCAGCGTGCTCGCGTCTTGTACATCGACGTTTCGACACGCTGTCGTAGTGTGGTACCTCAGCAGGGGAGGAGGTGCACGCTGTCTTTGTCTGTGAGCATGCCGACGTCTTAATAACCGAGGAAACACGTGCGCACCCTACTTGCCGGTGGCTCGCTGCATGGGCGCAGTCCTGACACGAGAGTCGTGACATGCTCGCACGCTTTTCGGCTCGCGGGGCGCCCCACAAAGAAAAAAAAAAGAGAAGGCTCGCCTTTTCTGCATACCACGGTCGCCCTATTTTTTCTGCCCACCACGTTCTGGATGCTAGGCTCGTCTGCGCGAGGAAAGAGTGGCCCGGGCTGTGCCTCGCGGACTCCCATGCTAAAATTCCAGGGTCGCCTTCAGGGATTGCGGAGAAAGGAGGCTGCAACGGCGGGCGCTCTTCCTTGCCTTTTAATTACTGTCGCGCGCCGCGGGAGAGGTTGCGCCAGTAGAACAGAAAGAAAGGTTAACGGGTTGTGGGAAAGGTGGCCCGAGAAGACGATGAACGAGGAAAGTGCGAGAGAGAGAGGGCGTCTTTGCTTTTCGAGAAAGTAAACATGTCTTCCTGGATAGCTTCAGCTATATCCCGACGGGTTTTTTCACGCGTCGATGATGCGCACTGATGCTGAACGAGAAGGGCATCCGTGCGTTGGTCCTCTCGCCTCGGCAATGAAGGCTAGGCAGCGTACGCCCAGGCAGTCTCGCGTCACTTTCCTTAGTATATCTGTTGTGCACATGTCTTTTTTTGTTTTTTGACCAGCCTCATTACTGCAGCAACGCGCTATAGAACAGCGCTTGTCTTCTCAAGCAGCCATTCTCGTTCTGTTCGGCATGTGTTTTTGTTTCAAATGTGGTTCTCGCAGCTTCTCGTGAGAGAGAACTTTCGAATAGCGAGACAAGCAGGTACGAGTGTAATGCACGGTATAATTGCGACTTACAGAGATAATGGTGTACGATTGCCCGAAAAATAAAGAGACGGGAAACTTCGACGTGCACGAGGACGCGTTCGAACATCGCAAAAGGAAGTTGATTATCATTACGCAGGGTAGCTTTTTCTTTTTTGGGGTGTATAAAGAATCTAGTCCATCATCTGGATGGTGCGAGAAACAAGGGACCAGAATAAGTGAACAAATTCTGTATACTTCTAGCGTCTTCATTGGGCTACGCGAAGAGCTGATCAGATACTACTTGAGCAATAAATAAATATGCATATTAAACTAACTAATAAAGCTTCACTAATTATATATTTGAGTAAATGCTTTTGTGTACATAATGTACAGTTACAAATCGTAGCCGGATACGCTTTGTATCTAAATGAAACAAATCTTCACAATAAGCCATACCAGTCTCATTCTCACAGTGCGCCTCGAACCATTTCGGTGTGGCAGCTAGTTATTTTTGTGCATCAGTGCATAAAACGATATTTTGCTGATTGATTGTAAGGGGGAAACCACTTGCACTTACAGCAAGTTTGACGGCACAGATCTCGAAAACCATGGCGTAATCATCCTAATTGCATTCCCATACGTAGTTAAATTTCACGGCCCGGTTCAATTATTCGCACTATGTAGAGGTGTTCGCAAAACAATTCGAAACGCCGAACAGGCGTTTGGAAATTTTACCGGTGGATTGATTGATTGATATATGGGGTTTAACGTCCCAAAACCACCATATGATTATGAGAGACGCCGTAGTGGAGGGCTCCGGAAATTTAGACCACCTGGGGTTCTTTAACGTGCACCCAAATCTGAGCACACGGGCCTACAACATTTCCGCCTCCATCGGAAATGCAGCCGCCGCA